GGATTTGGACAAATGTCTAATGACATGAATCCTTTATTACAGTATCATAGAGAGTATTTTCACTGCCACCCAAATCCTCTGTGCTCTATCTACCCCAGCCCAAACATGACAACTGACCTTTTTATTGTCTCCATAGTTTTATCTTTTCCAGAATATCATGTAGTTGAAATTGTACAGTATGTAGCCTTCTCAGATTGGTTTTTTTCACTTGGTAATGTGCATTCAAACTTTTTCCATGTCTGTTCATGACTTGATAGCTCATTTCTTTTTAGTGTTGAATAATATTCCATTGTCTGGATGTACCACAGTTTATTTAACCATTCACCTACTGAAGGACATCTTGGTTGCTTCCAAATTTTGACAATTATGAGTAAAGCTACCATAAACACCTATGTGCAGATTTTTGTGTGGACATCCGCTTTCAAGTCCTTTGGGTAAATACCAAGGAACTCAATTGCTGGTTTGTATGGTAAGACTATGTTTAGTTTTGTAAAAAAACTGCCAAACTGTCTTCTAAAGTTGCTGTACCACTTTTCATTCCCACCAGCAAGGAATGAGAGTTCCTATTTCTCCACATCCTTGCCAGCATTTGGTGTTTTCAGTGGTCCAGATTGTGGTCATTCTAATAGGTGTGCAGTGGTAACCTATTATTATTGTCACCCTTTAGGTTTTTACTATGCTCCCTGACTCGATATATCTATGTTCCTGCTAAGTGGAAATTAACTTTTTTGTTTGTTTGTTTTGGCCAGGCAGCATACTTCAATGCCTGAGTAACCTGGGAACCTGTAGAACCTCTTGCAAAAAGGGTGAATATCCCTACTTCCATTGTGGAGGAAGATATCAATCATGCTGCCTCCCATCCTACATGAAGATAAACATTTCCGGCAGAGAGGATAAAAAATGACTAGAGGCAAGAGAACCGCTGGCCAAAAATTTCTTGAGTGCTGGTGATCACCATCCTCAACCTGCTGTCAATGCCTCTCATTAAAATTCATGCACCTGACGCCCTTGTCTGTCTTTCACCTGTTGGAAATCACGGTGAGATTGGGTTTTGCGTGGTGAGATATCTATCTCCTTCCAGATCCAGCCCTGTGAGAGAGAAGGCTAGAAAACTGGAGAGAAACAGAAGAGAGGGAGTCTAGGCAAACCAGTGAAGATGGGGAGAGAATGTATTTGACTCCATTGAGGGAGGGTTGAGAATTTAGGTAGAACCATGACTTATTCTGTACTACGTAAGACTCAGAGGGGGACCAGAACTGGTGGGATACATCCATAGGCAGTGGGTGATGGTCTTGCAGACAAATATGTCTCAGCCCCTGGAAGAACTTCCTAACCAGCCATTGTAATGTAGAATAAGTTTTCCTGTCAAGGTTTCAAGTTAGGTGATTATTGCAGAAGAAATAGGAACATTGGATGCTGCTGTTCTTTTTATTATTGTTAAGGTCTTTTAATTCCTGAAAATCTGGGTTTGTGCTCCCAATTACAACCAACACTAGCTTTTAAAGGTAAAATTTGAATTTTACTTTTTATGTCTTACCTCCTCTAGTCTCTTATTTCTTTCTCTACCTTTAGTTTCAAATTTTGTCAAAAGGAGAGTAGTTACACTTGCCAATTACCTTTCTCTATTTCATGGGTGTTGCTCAACTTATATCACACTTTACCTCTTGGTAACATTTCCAACCACAGTCCATTCCCTCCTTGAAAACCTTAACTTGGTTGGCTTCTGTGACTTCATTCTTTCTTTGTTTTTCTCCTAACTTTTGAGCTGCTCCTTCTCCATTATCTTTTGGAGTTCCTCCTCTGTCATTGCATTCCTCTGAGGTTTCTCTTCTCTTGTGAGAATAAAAACTCTCCACATTCCTAGGAAAAGGCTGACAGTTCTATAG